AGTAATCCTCTCCCGGCTGGGAGGGCAGATGGCCACGGGATGGAGTCCACTTGTGGAAACACCACCTTCACGGGGGTCCCAGGCAGAGGTGCTAGTGGTAGCAGAAGGGCGTTCTTGAGACCCTCTCTTGGTTTCTCTGCTTGGTAACTGCCCAGGACTGGCCTGTGTGGATTCCAGGGCTCAGCACAGAAGGAGAGACTCAGTGGCAGCTGCTTGCAGAGACACCGGTTCATGAATGAGCCTCTGGGCCCCTGTCCAGGAGGAGGCCTGGCTTCTCATCAATGGCTGCACGCCCCGGACCGTGGCTTCCCCTGCTGCGCCTCAGTCATCCTGACGGGGAAGGAGGGTTGCAGCAGCCCATTGTCCTGCATCCTGCCTCTTAGACAGCCTGGGGTGGGGCTTCCCGCATTAGTGCCCAGCAGCCTCTCCTCAGGCCTCCTGGCCCCTGCCCAGTCTGGTGGGCAGCCTCTGTTTGTATCAGCAGAGCCCAGACTGTGGGTCCAAGTCACCCCATCCCTACCCCAGAATCAAGCCTAGTTTGTGGATCATCTTCCTTTGACAGGGAGGGAATCAGACTCAGAAAGGTTAAGTGATTCATCTGGGGTCCCCAGCAAGCCAGCGGTAGGCTGAAGGAACACAAGCCTGGGACACATTCTCCATTTCTCCCCCAGTATCTCTGAATCTGCACGTTTCTAACATTGATGGAACCCATCTGAGGAACAGGTGACCTCCCCAGGGCTTCCATCCTCATCCGTATAATGGGTCTGACCGTTCCTTCCCCACCCACCATGCCGGCCCGCCATTGGACATTCTGTGAAAATACTTTGGAAGGCGGAAATCAGGAAGCTGAACTGTTACAGCACGATTGCTGACAGACACGGAGCAGGGACAATGACTTCTCTTTGGGAAGTTACACTTGAAGAGACAGCGAACTCTCCAGGGCCCTCCTGCTCCCTACAGGGGTTTCTCCACTCAGGGGTTTGGAAATCTGCACACAGGTACATACCTGGCCTATTGCACCTAGGTACAGGGGCACAGTGACAGATGAAGCACACAGATACAGCCACCCACTGTAAATGTACTCAGGGACTTTCACACACACACACACACGTGCAAGAGCTACACATGTATACACACACACAGGCATTCCCACGCACTCAGAAACACAATATGTCCATGTACACACAGCCAAGTCAGCCTGTGTGTGCACACCCTCCTGTCCACCTGGAACACAGAGGTCTCACCTCCCCCAGGGCCAGTGTGGGAATGGATATTCCTCTGGCTGCATTTCAATGGGTGCCCGGAAGTGCGCAGGCCTGGAAGTGGTTGTGTAAATCAATATTTGCTGCTGTTAATTATTAAAACCAAAGCTACTCTGTGCCTGGAACACACATCTTGGAGTTTCTGCCGGCTGTGGGGCCCAAACCTGACCCCGGGCCAGGTCTGGGGTGGGGGAGGAGAGAGCACACTTTGCCTTCTTTCCAGGATCTCTTGGCCTGGAGGGATGGAGGTGGTGGGCAGCCGCTGGCGGCTCTTCTGGGGAGCTGCAGAGAGGTCTGGTAATGGGCTGGTGGGTAGCCCTGCCCCTGCAGCACCAAGCAGCTGGTTTTGACTTGGCCACAGAACAGGAAGCATTTGCTACTTTCCCAACATCTGTCTGGAGGAGGGGTTTGCAAGGCCCAGCTGCTATACAGTGGCTCTATCAGGTCAGGACACCTCACAGGGTCAGCTGGGAGGACTTGAAGAGGCTTCATATTTTACTGACGGTTAAACTGAGACCCAGAGAGTGGCAAGAACTCATACCACCTAGCAAACTGCAGCAAGGCCAGAGCTAGAACCCATATGTCCTGAAGCCCACTTAAATCCTCTCCTCCATACCACCCAGCACTGTGGCAATCCCCCAGGGTAGGGGACAGCTAGGGCTTTGGGAAGAGCGGGTATAGGCCAGTCAGCCACTGTCAGGCTGGGGAAGAGGTGTGGGGAGAGGGGAGAGGCCCTAAATAACAGCTCCAGGCCCCTTCCTAGCTGTGTGGTCCTGGGCAAGCTATTTCACCTCTCCGGAACAGTTTCCTCATTTGCATAATGGGGATGACATTTGAAACTCCTGGGTTATGGCGAAATGGTGAGATGTGCAAAGGGCCCGCATTAACTAAGTGCTCSCGAAAAGTCCCGTCTCCAGGTAACCTCTCCTCCTCCTGCCCGGCTTCACAGCCTGTCCAAAGTAGCTCGTCAGGAGGCCCCGAATCGGGGTACCCAGAGTCTGGGAAGACACACCAGACGGGGTGCCCCCGGGAGCTCAACTCGCAGCCAGCTTCCAGCGCGCCACCCGGAGAGCGCAGGCGCAGTGTCTGCGGCCGCGGGCCGGGCCGCACCGGGGGCGGGGCCTCTGTGTCCCCGCCCCGGGCTGCCGCAGCCCCGCCCCGGCCCCGCGCCGCCGGTACCTGGCGCCCCGCCCCCTCCGGGCCCGGCCGCGGGGCAAGCCCAGCGCAGGCAGCTCCGCCGCCGCGGGAACCCGGAGCGCGGAGCCTGGCGCTGCGGGGCCCGGGCCGGGGCGCGCGTGGCCGGAGCCGGCCGGGCCAGCCGAAGCGCCTGCGGGCCGGGGGCCGGGCCGGGCCGAGCTCGGGATGGCGCAGCCGCGGCCCCCAGCGCCCCAAGGCCGTCCTCGGAGGGGCTCGCTGCCGGTGGGGGCCGGCTGGCAGGTGAGGACCGGGCGGGGGCGTCCCGGCTGAGGGGGATCCCGGGCCGGGTCGGCCCGACTTCTCTGGAGCGCGGCAGCTGTGCCCGAGGCAGGGCGGGTGTGCAGGCTCCGTCCCAGCGGGTGTGTTAGCTTCTGGGCTGACACCGGCCACGGCGGCCAAGGGCTCACCCTGCTCAGGGGTCTGGGCCTGGGGTTCTTCCTGCTGCTACCCCCGAAACTGTGGCCCCGGGGTACAGTGGCACTGCGTGTGAGTCCTGCCATCGGGGCCACTTTATGTCTTCCCTGCCAGGTTTGGGGATCCTAATGTCAGAGTGTAACTTTGTGGTGGTGCCCAAATGAGGTGGGGACCCCCATCCGGGCCACATCATTCCCAGCCTTCCATTGCCATGTGTCAGGGCGTCTGCTGCTGCTGCTGCCTGTGCGGCTGTAACTGTAGGTGTCACTTGTTGCTGTGTACACTCAGGGTGACAGGACCATGTGTCAGTGTTTAAGGGAGTGATTCTCGCTAGTGCAACAAGGCATTGCATTTCATTGTCCTGCCTGTTAGGTCACCCTGAGTGGGGTCCCTGGAGGTCATTAAAGTGCCCCCAACTGCTGGAACCACTGGGGAATGGGAGGTGGTCTGACTCTGCCCAGATGCCAGTGTCGCTGTCCCACAGAGTGTGGAGTTGACAGGCGTGTCTGGTAACTGCCCATGGAATCATCTCTTCTCCACTCAGGTCTTGGGTTTGGCTGTGTGACCATGAGGTGGTCTCCTGAGGACTCCTGAGGTGGACTTCAGAAGATGTCTTGTTCTGTGGGCAGGCTTCAGAGCTTGCACATGCAGTGTTTGTGTCTCGTGACCTTTAGCGCAGTGTGTGTGTGTGTGTACATGGGGGGAGGGAGGTGACTTGGGTGGATGGGGGGATGCAGGGCTGTGTCCCTCCTGTGGACATTAATGACCTTGGAGTTGCCCCTGTGCAGCCTYCTTTGCTCAGAACTCTCAAGCCTGTTGTGGGATGGGGTCTGTTGTGTCTGTTGCACAGCGTGTGTGGCCAGATGGGGAAAGGGGACTCTGTGTCCCTGACAACCTGTCCCCCAGAGTGCATGTCACTGTGTCTTGGTCTCAGGAGGGTGGTTTTGTGATGTTCATGCTGTGTCACGTGCGGTACAGGGTGCAGAACTCACAGGTGTGGGTTTGCTCTAGTCTGTGTATCTCTTGTGGTCCGTGGATTTGTGTGTGTGTGTAAATTGGTGTGCTGTTGTGTAACTCAGGATGTCAATATGTGTATTTGTGTGTTCATATAGAGCTCTAAGAATCACTGTATCTAGACACCGTGTGTGTGTGTGTGTGTGTGTGTGTGTGTGTGTGCACAAAACATGTAGTGTGCTGGGAGAATAAGTATTGGTGTCAAGCCTCTGTGTGTCTGAGCAGGAGAGGGAGAGATTGTGTGTGTATGTGTGCACGTGTGCACATATTTCCTGCTGTACAACCCCATAGCATGGGTGTGTGAGCTCAGGCAGTGCCCCCACTGGGCAGCAGGAACTGTTGGAGCCTTGGAAGGGTTGGGGGAGGGGCACCACCAGAGACTCTAGGGGTTTCCCAGCCCCAGCCCCAGCCTTGCCAGCCGCCACTGGGCATCCTTGCCGCCTTCCAGGAAGGTTCTCAGGGAGTTGGCGCTGGAGAGGCCCATGCTGCCAGGCAGCTGGCAGATGCTGATTAACCCTGCGTGTACCCTGGCTAGCTTCAGGACAGGCTGGCTTGGGCATGAGAGGGCGCCAGTGGRCTCAGGCACAGGTGTCAGGCCATCGGGCACCTCAGCATCCTCTCCAGCAGGGCCCCCACCCCACATTGTTGGGTTGTGTGAGCGGTGGCCGGTGGCCTGGGTTGACTGTCCTCTTCCTGGAGATGGAACCATGGCCCTTCCTTCTCATTCCACCTGGGCTCATCTCTGGGGCTGGCACCAGGGGCATTTCTCAGGGGCCTGTCCTGGCAGTGCCAACCTTGCAATGGCATGAAGGGGATCTGTCCCTCCCCAAGGGTCATGGCCTCCTCCCTAGGAAAAAGGACTGAGTGGGGTGGGCTCCCTGGGGCCCAGGACCTGGGTGTGGGCTCACCTCCACTGGCAGTTGGCCAAGTCCTGTGCCTCAGCCCCCTCCTATGATGCCTGCTGCACCCCGTCTTGCTGCCTCGAGCCCTGATGGCTGGTCAGAACTGAGGGGATCAGGAAGGCTGGGGTTGGGGAGACTCCTGGGGCTTGACAGGGCCAGCTGGGCCACCTCGGGACTGACCTGCCTTCCCGTCTCTGTTGCAGAACACAGATCTGTTTGAGATGATTGAAAAGATGCAGGTGAGGACGCTGGAGACGCCAGCCCTGGGAGCCACCGAGCTGGCTGGGCTGGAAGTGGGGGCCCTTTCAGTATTTCTAGCCCTACATCTTTCTGAGGACAGGCCAGGAGTCTTCGATAGACCATGCCAGGAGAAGATGGTGGCAGTTTTTGTCCAGAGTCCTGTCTGGGGGTCCTGTGGAAGAGGGGACCTCTCTGAGGACCCACCCAGGCTCCCAGCTCCCTTCCCTGTGTAGGTCCCCAGCAGGGCTACATCAGCTCAGCTCACCCTCACCCCATAAGAGGCATCACAGCTGGGCTGGACCCCAGGCAGAATGACGGAGGGGACAGAGGCCAGGGTGCCTGTCAGCCAGAGCTGCGCTGCTGTGGGGGAGCTGTTAAGGATCCGGGCAGCCTGGGGAGCAGCTCTGCCCCTGCCGCACCCCGGCCACCTTCGTCCAGTCCTGGTCTCCCAGGCCCTCGTCTGTGTCTTGTGTGGGCGTGTGTCGGGGGAGATGGGTGGGAGGGTGGTGGCGTGGGGGTGGCTCACAGAAGCCTCAGGAGCCTTGCCTGACGTCAGCTCACCCTCCCCAGCCCTGCTCTTTCCTGCCTCTCTCCGTCTCCACCTCCTCCCGCTCTCCACGTATCTGGATGATGCAGTGGCCCCCTCCCCACGCTCACACATGGGCCTGCGCACGCACCCCTGCCCCCACTCCCAGCAGCACGTGCATTCCTGAACAGAGCCCCCGCCCCTCCCTGCTGCGCTGGCTCTTCAGAGGGGCCTGAGGCATGAGCTGGCCAGCACCCTACCCTGGGAGTACCCGTCCTGCTCCCCACGTCCAGGGCTCTCCCAGGGCTTCCCTTCCACAGGGGCAGGAGCGCAGGAGAGCGAGCCTTCCACACATGGAAGGGCGCCTGGCCGCAGGTGGGGGTGTAATGGGTGATGCCTTGTCTTTCAGGGAAGCAGGATGGACGAACAGCGATGCTCCTTCCCGCCACCCCTCAAAGTAGGTGAAGCAGCCTGACCTCTGCAGCAGAGGTCAGCAGAGGTCCCCCCGCGGGCTGGGGGAGGGGCTCCAGGTGGCGCCACAGCCACCCAGTTGCGAAGGGTCTTACTGTGTGCCTTGTGCTGGGCCCTGGGTGGCCACTGCCCCAGGAGCTCTGAGTCCTGGAGCTCCTCCCTGCCCACCGCCCTGCTGCCCTTGCTCGCCTCTCCAGGCAGCTTCCCTGACCCTCTTCCGTCCGCAGCTGCAGAAAGACCCACCCAGGAGGGGCATTGGCTCTTGGTGATGTGGGACCCATCAACCCTAGAGGACTGAATGGCCCTAGAAGACACAGCTGGGCTTGGGGGAGTGGGCCCAGAGCTAAGCAGGCTCCTGGGCAGCAAGCCAGCTGCCTCTTCAGGGCCAGGGGTCTCAGAGTATGGTGCTCAGATCAGCGGCCTCTGGTCATCTGGGAGCATGAGGATGCCAGTCCCCGGGTGCCACCTGCCTGGCTGCACCAAGAACTGGTGTGAGGCGCAGCACCCTGTGTCTTCTAGGCCTCCTGGTGGCCCAGAGTTCTCCTCCGGGGAGGCAAGAGCCTCCTTTCCCCAGGCAGAGTGAACCCCGAAGACCCAGCACTCAGCCTGGCCTGCCTCTGAGCTGGCCTTGAGGGTCCCCCGGGGCAAGTCACTGCCCCATCTGTAAGCTGGGGGATGAGGCCATGGTCCCAGGGAGCCTGGGAGGCGAGGAGGGTGGGGACACCACCCAGCCGTGCCTCTCCTCTCTTTTGCAGACAGAGGAGGACTATATTCCCTACCCGAGCGTCCACGAGGTACCTGGCTGGACCCCCGAGCCACCCTTCCCCAGTCCAGGGAGGCCTTTGTGAAGGGCATCTGGATACCAGGTCCTCCCTCCCGGGGGCCTGGCTGCAGGCTCTGCTGGGCTGCTCAGTGAACAGGCCCAAGACTTTGGGCTGATTTGAACCGTAGGCTTCTGAGCCAGACGTTTCGCCTCCTGGGTCAAAGCCATGTGTCCCCCTCCCCTACCTGCCCCCAACTCCCATCCTTTGAGTCTGGGACAGAGGGCTCGGTGCTGTGGGGTCGGGGAGGGAAAGGGCTGGAGCAGGTACCCAGAGAGGGTGGATGTGCACCCTGGAGTCCACCCAGCTCTGGCCGGTCCGTAGTATTCCTTTGCCATGACAGAAGGGGCCCAAGTCTGAGCTGGGGAGTGTCCTGAGGCCCCCATCAAGGTGCTGTGTGGGTGGCTCTCAGCTGAGTCCCTCTTCAGGTCCTGGGGCGAGAAGGGCCCTTCCCTCTCATCCTGCTGCCCCAGTTTGGGGGCTATTGGATCGAGGGCACCAACCACGAAATCACCAGCATCCCCGAGACAGAGCCACTGCAGTCACCCACCACCAAGGTGAAGCTGGAGTGTAACCCCACTGCCCGCGTCTACCGGAAGCACTTTCTCGGCAAGGTGGGTGGCCAGCTGGTATTGGGGTTTGGCTGGGGTTGTCACAATCCAGCCTCACGGGAGGATGGGCCCAGGAAGAGCGCCCTCGTGATGGGGCTGGGTGACAGTCCCAGAGTCCTGAGTCTCAGGGAGCATGCGTGTGGGGTTATTCATCCATTCCACAAACATCTATTGCAAAAGGAGGTGGGATGACATGGCGGTTAACAGGAGAGATACCAGGGGGTGGGCCCCGGCTCTGCCACCTGCTGCCCAGGCACGGGGCGAGCTGCTTAGCTTCCGTGTGCCTCAGAGTCTGTCTGTAAAAATGGGGATAATGACACCCACCTCACGAGGCTGTTGTGAGGTTTCAACAGACCATGCTTATAAGGTGGTTTGAGTGGCATCTGGAACAAAGTAAGCGCTCCTCAGGTGAGCAAATAATGAGCTCCAGCTGTGTGCTGGGCGCTGCTCTCACCTTGCAGAAGGCGGCAAACAAAACAGGCTCGGCCCGCCCTTGAGCAGCTTGGGGTGGGGCTGGGAGGACAGTGTCACGTGATGGCTGGGCCTGGATTGACCACAGCTGCAGAGCAGGGACCCTGCCAGCAAGAGCTTGTCAGAGTGACACGGTGTTCTTGAGAGTTGCTGGGTGGAGCCATGGGGACCGGAGGGGTGGTCCCCTGCTCGGGCCTCCTGCCAGTCAGGCTCCACAGCGGTGCTGCTGCATGCGGGGTCACAGACAGAAAGTTGGAGCACACCCCAGGTGTGGAGCCTCCTGGCCCAGGCTCTTCCCTCTGTTGATGGTGTCGTCTTGGGCGAGTTATTTAGCCTTCTGGAGTCTGTTTCCTTGTCTATAAAAACAGGGATAATAAAAGTACATTTAAAACATATAGAGCCAGGTGTGATGGCACACACCTGTAAATTCAGCCCCTTGGGAGGCCGAGGCAGGAGGACTGTAAGTTCGAGGCCAGCTTGGGGAACTTAGTAAGATCCTGTCTCAAAATAAAAAGGGCTGGGGAGGTAGCTCTGTGGTAGAGCTGCCCTGGGGTTTACTCCTTGGTGCTGCCAGAGAAGGCAGATAGAACCATGCGTGTCGCATAGTAAATAAGCAATTAGCCACAGCTGTTATTACCTCTTCCTCATCCCTCTGTGAGGTCAAGATCATCCCGTTTTTACAGAAGAGGAAATTGAAACTCAGAGAGGTGAAGTGACTTGGTCAAGGTTGCAGCCGCACTGCCGAGGACTGGGCTCCTAGCAGTGTGTGTCCTTCTCTTTACCCTCCATCCCGGAGGAGGGGCTGGCCCTTTGGGGGGATTGAGAAGCTGCGTGACCTCAGCCTGGGCCCAGGACACCTGCCTGACCCTGKGAAACACGGGTGCAAACTGTCTGGGTTGGAGGAGGGTGCACCCAGCAGGCGGGGCTCAGGAGCCATCGCCTGGGACAAATGCAGAGCAGCGCAGAGGGATTTGTCTTCCGCTGAGCCCTGTGGGTGGAGAGAACTGCACCCCAGGTGGCCTCGGCCAGAGGTGGCCTCCGCCAGAGGCTCTTGGCTGGGTCTGGCAGAGGCAGGATCCAGGGAAGAGCAGATGTTGGCACTCGGGAGAGGTTGCCAAAGCAGTGAGGAGCCGCAGATGGTGGTGCAGGGCCTTGAGCACAGCGGGATTTGAAGAGGTACAGGTGGCAGTCAGAGGCACAGAGACTGGGCTTAGGTCAGCAGGACAGGGGACGGGGCTCCAGACTCCAGATGGGGTGCCTCGGGAAGCAGCCCGGTGTGCGGGCACTGAGCCTGTTCTGAGTGAGGAAGGAGGTGAGGGTGACTGTGGGCATTGCTGTCCTGGCCCTGAGTCCATCCTTCACTGTGTCCCTTGGGCTCCTCTGGGCTTGGGAGGCAGGTGTCCAAAGAAACTCCCCAGCCACTGGCCTTCCTGCAGGTGCCTGCCACTCCTCAGGGGACAGTGCCGAGCATTTGGGGGTTTCTGCTCCTCGGGGCAAGGCAGTGCTGGGTGGACGCTCTGCCCCTGTCCACTCGTTTGTCCCTGAACTGCAGATCTGTGGGGCCAATCCCCTGTCCCCCTTTCCCCACTTGGCTGCTGAACACCAGGGTTCATGTAGGAAACAGGATTCACTTCCAGGTTGATCCCGGGTGGGTGTGGCTGGGCTGCCGGCTCCACCCAGGGCTGGGACTGGCAGGGAGCCGGGAGCCAGGCTGGGGTGGCACCTTGCCACACTCGTAGCACTTGGTTTCCGACTTCTCCACCTGGAGCCGTCAGCCAGCTCCCTTCTGGTGTCACCCGAAGCCGCCACCCCTCATGCCCTCTGGGGTGTCTTTCCCTGCCGATCCCTCTTTTCAGGAGGCAGGAGGGTGGGACCCACCTGGTCAGCTGCCATGTATGTTGTGAGATGGTCCACTTCCTGTTTCCCATGGGTCCTGGCCGGGGCCACAGAGCCACAGAGCCGCAGGTTGGGCAATCAGCTAGTTGGCTGGAACCCAGGGCCCTGCTAATGCTAGTTGGCTTTTTCTTACTGAGCACCTATTGTGTGCATCCCCAAGAAAGGCAAGGGCCGGTGACAGGCATGCATGGGCAGTGTGGCCCGACTTTGGTGCGGAGCCAGAGAGCAAAAGTCACTACAGATGCTCCGAACACTGTGTCTTTGCCAGGTGGCATCGCTTTCAGTCCCTGCCACCTGATCCAGGTAGGTGGCGTCATTCCCACTTTATATATTAGGAAGGTGAGGCACAGAGGTGAGGTGACCCAGCCAGTGACAGATCTGTCTGAAGCGGAGCCGGCTACTGGCCACAACACTTGCTGCTTGGTGAGGGACCCATCTGGGGACAAGTTGGCTTCTGGTTTCCAGAAGCTTCCAGTTCAGCCTCGCCCACTCCCCCCCTCCCCCGCCACAGGAGCACTTCAACTACTACTCACTGGACACTGCCCTCGGCCACCTGGTCTTCTCACTCAAGTATGATGTCATTGGGGATCAAGAGCACCTGCGGCTGCTGCTCAGGTAAGGACAGTGTGAGGGGCCCCAAGACAGCAGGGAAGATGGGGGTCTACAAGAGCCCATCTCATTTTATCCACTCTTCTAATTGAGGCCCAGAGAAGGGCAGGATTTACTTGAGGTCACACAGCAAGTGAGTGCCCCAGCCAGGCCTGGTGCCATCGTTGCCTGTGGTCCTCCCTGAAGTCTGTCCTCTCTGGCCTTGGTGTGGAGGCTGGACGGCTCCCCACACTGCCCAGCCCTTCACCGTGGGCTTTCTCCTCCCAGGACCAAGTGCCGGACATACCACGATGTCATCCCCATCTCCTGCCTCACGGAGTTCCCTAACGTGGTCCAGATGGCAAAGGTAAGGCCTCACTCCCAGGCCTCCTGTGTCTGGCCCCGGGCCGGGGAGGGACACAGGGCTGGGCGGCGGCTGGGCCCCAGCACTCCCTCGGCTTCTGCTCCGAGTGCCGCAGCCCCCCTGCACTCCTGCTTCCCATCTGCTCCCGCAGGGTCTTCGTGCTGCCTGTGGCACTCTTCGCAGCACGCTCAGATATCGGGGGCCCCAGTTTCCAAGTCCAGTTCTGAATAGCCATGAGCCCTGGTCCTGCTTCAGCCTCAGTTGTTCCCAGAACACCCTTCCCTCTCCCTTTTGCTGCTGTCCTCCCAGAGCTGGCCACAGAGGCCGGGAGGCCCTCTCCTTCCTGCCTGGCCACACCTCACGCCCCTCCCTGTTGCCTCCTGCAGCTGGTGTGTGAAGACGTCAATGTGGATCGATTCTACCCTGTGCTCTACCCCAAGGTATGACAGGACCTGGGCCCTGATCACTGAGGGTGGGTGCCCCGGAGCTGAGCATTTATTGGGGACCTGCTGTGTGCTGGCCATTTCYCTTAAGTCCCCTCATTTGATCCTCGTGTCTTCTCTGCAAAGTCCACAGTTTGCAGAACAGAAAGCACAGAGAGCTCTGGGTCTTACCTAAGGATGCACAGCAGATACGGAAGGCCTCATTTGAATTGAGGGTTGCCTTGGAGGCAGGTCTCACTCATGTTGGGAAACTCTCAGTGCTGTCTGGGGACCCTCCTAAGGGCAGCTGGTCTCCAGACTACCACTGGCCTTGACTTCTGACCCCAGAGGGTCCTGCGGGGTGTCACCTGTGGAGATGCTGCCGTCCAAGCAGCTGCTCTCCCACTGGGCCTGCTAGTTCCAGGTGCTGTGGCCATGTGGGGATAGCAGCCAGCCAGGGGGCTTCCTGGAAGAGGTGGGACTTGAAGACATGTAAACCCTGGGTCCTGACTGGATCCCGGAGCAGGGTGAGGTCCTGCGGGGTGTCATGGTCTAGGAAAGGTGTCCCGAAGGATGGATGAGGTCTCAGAAATCAGGTCCCACCTCCCGACTATGGAAGAGGAACTGAGGCCCAGGGTGGGGAGGGGCTGCTGAAGGCCTCACAATCCGCCGCCGGTGGGACTTGGCCATTCTAGAAGGATGAGGCAAGTTTGCAGGGGACCCAGGGAGCAGGTGGGCGTTCTGGCGTAGAGTGGGGCATCTTTGTCCGGGACAGGCGGGGGGGCTCACAGCAAAGCCCAGGCACCCAGCAGAGCGGGGTCAAGTCCCGCCCTGCACACACTTGCAGGCTGCTGGCTGGAGACACATTGCCAAAGCTCTCTGAAGCCCAGGGCAGCCTGAGGGTCCCTGTGGGCTTGCTGAGACTGTTACATATGGTGCCAGGTGTGGCACTGGACACGTGCTGCTCAGAGAAGGGTAACTTGTAAGTGCAGTCCAGTCACCACGGTCCCCCCGTGCCCTGCAGGCTTCCAGGCTCATCGTCACCTTTGATGAGCATGTCATCAGCAATAACTTCAAGTTCGGAGTCATTTATCAGAAGCTTGGGCAGGTGTGTGCCTCCCATCTGCCCCCACCCCCTGCCCTCCGTCTGGCACCTCAGAACTGCCAGGGGACTGTCCCCCACCGGGAGTGAGTGGGGCTGGGGGCGGGGCAGCTCAGACCCAGCACGGTGACCATGGCCCCTGTGGTTGGTTCCCAGACCTCAGAGGAAGAACTCTTCAGTACCAACGAGGAGAGCCCAGCCTTCGTGGAGTTCCTGGAGTTCCTGGGTCAGAAGGTCAAACTGCAGGACTTCAAGGGGTGAGTGCTGGGGTGGACATGCGCAGCTGAGCCGACGCAGGCATCTGGGCAGGGAGGGAGCCCCCGTCCTGGCCCCATGGAGGCCTGGCCGGGGCTGAGACTGAGCCGTGGCCTGGGGGGCCCGGGGGCAGGTTCCGAGGAGGCCTGGACGTGACCCATGGGCAGACGGGGACCGAGTCTGTGTACTGCAACTTCCGCAACAAGGAGATCATGTTTCACGTGTCCACCAAGCTGCCCTACACAGAAGGGGACGCCCAGCAGGTAGCCTGGCACCCAACCACCTGCCTCTCACTGTCCACCTGTGCCCCCACCCACCTCTGTTCAGCATCTACCACGCCAGGCTTGGTGCTGGGCCCTGGGATACAGGCACGGAAATCATCCAGTTCCTCCAACAGAGGGCCCTGGGAAACCTTCACTTCATTCTGTGAAGTGGGGATAGTAATGGCGTGACCTCGTGGGTGAGAGTGGAGGAGGGACACATAGGGATAGCTTCTGATACATAGCAAGAGCCAAAAAGGTGAGCTAGGATTTTTGTGAGAAGTGAGGGGCATTATGGGGTCAGGTGGTGGCACTGAGGTCTGGCTGATCCGGGGTAAGGAAGAGCTTTCAAGACAGGCTGCAAAGGAGCTGGCAGGAGTTCGGAATACTTCAGACCAGCTTCTGCAAAGTCCTGGAGTCCAGGAGGCGCAGGCACCATGTGTCACCTTGACCCGAGCTGCCTTAGGCCATCTGCCTTACCCCACTTCCCCAGCCCAGGGTGCTAAAGGGTACTTGAAAAAAATGGAAATACACTTTCCCCTGTTCTTGGTGGCTTTTTCTTTTCTTCTCTTTTCATAAGACCATCTGTTCTTTTGAGCAACATGAATATACGTGGAGTAGAACTTGTTTATTTAATGGAGGGTCACATTTGGGGGCATTTAGATAGGAGAAGATTTGAGAGGAAGGGCCTTGGAAACCAGGATTTGGATCCAGGTCTCTGAGCTCATTGTAGGTCCTTGCAAATCACTTCTCTCTTGGTCTCGATTTTCTCACCTGCCACAGGTTTCCAAGACAACTAAAATAATTCAAAGACAAGTGTTCAACATTTATTTTTGAGCGGGGGGCAAGCAAATCCTAAGATGTGCTCTCTGCCTACCCCAAACCCCCCCCACCCCTTTGGTCACCCCCACCCCCCAGGGGCAGGCTGTAAGTCCTGTGGCCCTGTGCTCAGTTGCAGCGGAAGAGACACATCGGGAACGACATCGTCGCTGTGGTCTTCCAGGATGAGAACACGCCCTTTGTGCCCGACATGATCGCATCCAACTTCCTGCACGCCTATGTGGTGGTGCAGGCTGAGGGTGGGGGCCCTGATGGCCCGCTCTATAAGGTAGGTGGTCTCAGAGCTCTCCAGGGGCACTAGCAAGGGCCCTGCCACAGCTCAGCCCCCCAGCACACCTGTCTCGGTCCTTCCCACTGTAGGCAGAGGCCAGGGAGGACCCCCCACACCCTTCACTCCTCAGAGAGACTCCTCCCTCCCCTACCTCCTGCCTGCTGCCAAGCCCTCTGCCTCCTTTAGCCTCCTCCCAATGATCTGAGGTCCCCTGGCCAGCCCCACCCCTCAAATTCAGGGCCAAGGATGGAGGAGCTGAAATGCCAAGAGGATTCTCCACTCAGCGATCAGAGCCTCCTGCACCCAGGGGCAGGAGGGGAAGGGAATGAGGGACTTCTGGCTGGTGTGGGGTGGAACAGGCCGCCCCATCCACAAGGAGAACTGCCCCTTCTCTTTCAGGTCTCGGTCACGGCAAGGGATGATGTGCCCTTCTTTGGGCCCCCCCTTCCGGACCCTGCGGTGTTTAGGAAGGTGAGAGAGACTGTCCCAACCCTGTGGTGTGCAGAGCAGGACTAAAGGGGAGGGTCTTGGGAGGCTCAGGTTCTGCCTCATGAGGTTCTGAAGCCGGGGCAGCTGGGACACCCTAACCCTGCACCTGGGATCTGGCTTTTCTCTTGATCTTGATAAGAATTGGGTCTCCCCCCCCCCCGCCCCCCGAAGGTCATGGAGTAAATGATATGACTGCCATTTTCATAGCAGACCTTGGCCTTTCCTCAGTCTTATTCTTTCTGAAAGTTCAATCTTTCCTCTAAAATATTTGGGAAGAGGGCACATGTCTCTGTGACCTTTCAGAAGCCACACTGCAGACCTTGGCTTCATCCCCAGGTTACCCCAGGCCCTAAAACCTGTGGAGGTTGCTCTCCCGAGGGGGTGGATGACCCTTAGTGCCTGGGCTGGGGGCTGAGCCAAGGAGATGCCCTTCTAGGAGTGCCCAGGGTGACCCAGGCCAGGCACAGCGCAGGAGCTCCAGCCCCTGCCTCACAGGCTCAGCAGGCCCTTCCCGTTCATTTACCACCCCACCCCCTTCCCCATCTCCTCGGCACTGGGGGCTCCCAGGGGCCTGAGTTCCAGGAATTTTTGCTGACGAAGCTGATCAATGCTGAATACGCGTGCTACAAGGCCGAGAAGTTTGCCAAACTGGAGGTGAGGATGGGCTTTGGGGGCTGAGCCCCTTCTTCCCTTTCCTAGTCTAGAATCTCAGCCGGCTGTAGGGAGGGAAAAGGCTCCTTCAGACCCTGGCCCTGGGGGCTACCTGGGTGGGAGGAAGCAGGAGGGCCCTGTCCGGGGCCCCAGGTGGGCAGAGAAGAGGGGGCCGGGACGGGAGGGTCCTGGGGGCTGCCTGACCTGTGGAGGGAAGGAGGGAGCCAGCGCGGCTCCGGGGTCCAGGACCCCCCCCCCCCCGCACCCCCCTCACTCTGAGAAGGTGGCCGGCGCTCGGGAGGGGACCAGGATTGGAACTGCGGGAGGACGGGGCGGGTCACCGGGGCTCTCCGGCCCGCAGGAGCGGACGCGCGCCGCCCTGCTAGAGACGCTCTACGAGGAGCTGCACATCCACAGCCAGTCCATGATGGGCCTGGGCGGCGACGAGGACAAGATGGAGAACGGCGGCGGCGGGGGCGGCTTCTTCGAGTCTTTCAAGGTGGAGGGTCCGGATGGCCCGAGCGGGGAGCCGGCGCAGGGCGGGGCTGGGGTGGAGTCGGGGCGGGGCGAGGGCCGGCGTGGGGCGTGGCTAGAAGAGCTAGCTGGGCGTGGGCGGGGCTAGAGGCGGGCTCCCCGTTGGGGGCGGGGCCGGGTGCCTACCGTCTAGGTGAGCTGGGAGGTACCTGGGCCTTGGGTAGTACCAGGCTGGGGGGAGAGTGTAAGCGGGGACAGTGACTAGGGGAGGAGGTAGTGGCCGGAGGTGAGGCTGAGGCCTGGGGGCAGAGTACCTCTGGGAAGTCAGCTGAAGGTCGAAGTCCCTGGGGTGGCAGCCTGGTGCTGCTGGTGTCCTGGGCTGTGGCTGCCAGGGTCTGCCAGCAGAGAAGAGACCTCTGTCTTGACCCAGAGGAAGAAATAGAGGTCCTAGGAGGGGTTTGTGAGCCTGTACCTGTTGAAGAGGGACCTGACCCGTGGGACCCACGGTGGCTACCCCTGGTTGGGTTCAGTGTTGAGAGAACAGGTTCCCAGGGGTCAGACCCAGCTCTGCCCCTTACCAGCACAGGCGTTTTCTGAGCCTCAGCTTCTTTCTCCGTGGACTTGGGTCATGGGAAACCACCTCAGACCACTGTAGCTACTTGTAAGGCAGTCAGGTTGGCACGATATAAGTTAAAAAGCAAAATGCAAGACTGCTCCGCTGCCTCAGCATGAGTGTCCAAGTGAGAAGCAGAGGAGGTTCCCCCACCCCTGGAGGGGCTTGGGCAGCAGGGACCTAGGCAGTGGCCTCTTTGCTACCATCTCCTCCACCCACAGAGGACTGTCTCTCCTCTGGGTGCCCAGCCAGGTAGTTGAGCTGTACCCTTACCCTCGGGCAGGCCACCAGGCTGTGGGTTTGTATACAGGGATAGCCCAGTGACCCGGAAGGAGCCGCCCTGCCTCTGCCCGCTGGAGGCAGGAAACGGGGGTGAACATGGGTTTGGAGTGGTTTCTTTGAGAAGGATTCCAGTGGTCTCACATCAGGAAGACGCCAGACCTAGATTAGGTCAGGGAGTTTCTCAGAGTCCACAGTCAAGGGCATAGGATTTGGCAGATGGGTTCTAGCTCACCTCTTCCTATCTCATCACCTGTAAAGTGGGCATGAGGATCAGCACCCTGTGGGGGGACTCAGCAGCAGGGTGAATGTGAAGCATCTGGTCCCCCAGGGAGCACACAAGAAGGGAGGGAGGAAGGAAGGAGAAAGGAGATCTCAGACCCCCCCCCCCCCAAAAAAAAAAGGGCAAGAAACAGGTTTCTGGAGGGTTCTGTGCACATTTGATCATGACTCAGCATTTCTCCTGTTCCTACAACTGCCTGAGACCCAGCACACAGCAGCCTGTGCGGCTCAGAGAGGTAGTGTGACATGCCCAAGGCTGCCCAGCAAGCTGGTGACAGAGCCAGGCCAAACTACTCTTATGCACTGTGCGTACCTGCCTCTTGGGTGGCATATAAAGACACCTAGAACTCACAAGGAGATGGGATGGGACTTCCTGGGTCACCAGGGTGGTATTAATAGGGAAGGACTAGATGCCTGGGCTTCCCCATGCCTCCTCCACACCCATCTCGCCTTCGCAGCGGGTCATCCGGAGCCGGAGCCAGTCCATGGATGCCATGGGACTAAGCAACAAGAAGCCCAACACCGTGTCCACCAGCCACAGTGGGAGCTTTGCACCCAACAACCCTGACCTGGCCAAGGCTGCTGGAATAGTGAGTGTCCCCACCCTCCCCGCCCCTCCCAGGGCCCTCAGTGCCCCCACCTCCTGAAGTCTGGCCCACCTCGCTCCCTGGCCTTGCTGTCCACATGCCCACCCTGGGCTCTGGACTTGGTCTAACCACTGCTTTCCACGGGGGTCAAGTGCTCCTGCCAGGACCTGGGTGCTAAGAGCCTGCAGCCCCTTCCCCAGCTCTTTGGCCCTTTATTTAGGTGTGACTTTCTGCAGGTCAGCTCCTGGGCAGTCTGTGTCCCATCCTTATTGAGTACCTACTGTCTGTGTGTGCTGGGAACTGGGCTGCTGTGTGGGCACCTACTGTCCAGCCTGGGGTTTCTGGGAGCACCTAATGTGTGTCAGGCTGTGGGCACCCACTGTGTGTCAGGACCTGCGTTGCTGTGTAGACATGCACTCTGTGAGCACCCATGTGGGCCTGGTCCTGAGTTTGTGTGGCCAGCCCTGGGCTGGTGTGTGAGCACCTATTGTGTGTCAGGACCTGGGCTGTTGTGTGAGCATATGATGTGTACAGAGCCTGGGATATCAGTGAACACCTACTGTGTGTCAGAAAGCCGGCTGCTATGTGGGCATTTCCTCTGTGGCACCTCCTACTGTGTGTCTGCAGCAGCCTGGGCCTCTGTGGCTGTGGCTACCTATTGTGTGTCAGGAACTGGACTTCTGTGTGGACGCCTCCTGAGGGAGCCCCTCCTGACTGTCTGCCAGACCCTGTGAGAGCTGGCCCCTCACTCCGGGGAGTGCTGTGGGCAGGAGAAACTTGTCTGCGTGGGGGCCTAGCTGCTTTGCGCCACCTCCTGGCCTCCCGGGACACTGCACTCACTGCTCTCACACCTCTCCACACTCCATCCATCCATCCACCCCTCCTCCTGTTAACCCTCCCATCCATCTATCTGTCCATCCCTCCACCCATCCACCCATCCACCTGTCTACATACCCACCCACCCATCCACCCATCTATTCACCCACCCACCCATCCACCACTCCTCTACCCACCTGTCTACATATCTGTCCACGCACCCATTCACCCACCCACCAGTCCACTCCTCTACCTACCTATCCGTCCACCCACTCCTTTTCCCATTCATTTACCCACCCATCCACCCACCTGCCCCTGTCTTCTGCATGCCAAGCCCTGTGCTCAGTGCTTCGAGGCTGTTGTGTGGCAGGGCCCACCCGCACCTGCCCTGTGGGCTGATCTAGCTGGGGAGCTAGGTAAGGCCTCTGCTGCCCAAGAGTCACCAAGCTCACCACTGTCATCCGAGGAAGTGGCCCAACCTCCCCCAACCCAGGTTCTCCAGCCACTCCCTTCCTCCCTATTGGAGTGGCCCAGCCTCCTGTGGGTGGCCTCCGAGGGACCCCGGGGACAGGGACAGGCCAGCGGCACCCACCATGGCAGTAATCAGACCCATTTCTGTTTTTGTTTTTGCACAACTCTCTTCTCTTCATGTTACTTCCTCTCCCTCCACTTTCTTGTCTCTGTTTTTCTTCCGTCTCCCCTCTTTCCTGTTCCCTCGGCCTCCCTGCCTCCCCGCCTCTTCCTTCTCTTGCCSGTTGTCCTTTGCTCCTCTCCCCTCCCTTGCCCACTCCTCACGCCCTCCCTCTCCCCTCACCCCTGCCTTCTCCCATTGGTCTCTGCCCCTCGCTCCCTGGGCCATCTCTGTCCTGCTGCTCTGCCCCCTCCCCTGGGCCCCATCTCTTTCTGTCTCCTCCGCCTCGTGCCTCCCTGTCTCYGTCCCACCTCGCTCTCCCCTTTGCTCTCTGTCCCCTCCCTCGCCTTCTCTGCCCCGCCCTCTGCTGCTTGCCAGTCATTGCTTATTCCTGGGAAAAGCGCGAGTAGATTCGGACGCCGGGGCAGTGCCATAGGCATAGGAACCGTGGAGGAGGTTGTCGCCCGCGGGCCGCGGCTCTGGAGGCTGCCTGCACGCGCTGTCCACTGCTCACTCTCGGGACGGAGGCCATATTGGGGACGTTGCCCCCTTTCCCTGGGACAGGCCCAAGGGCGTGCGGGACGGGATGCCAGCAGCGCTGAGGGCACTCAACACCTCTCTGGGGGCTGGCACCTGGGCCAGAGCCAGGGGCCCTTTCCAGGGGCTCCTGGCTCTGCCCAGTCCCTGCCGGGGTCTGGTGCCCAGGCCCCTCTGCCAGATGCACGTCCCCCAATATCGCTGGTTCTGCATGGAGTGCCGCGCCTCCCCCGCCCTGACCCGCTCCACCACCAGCTGCCCTGGGGGGTCCCGCCCTCCGTGCCTCAGGGCCACCTCCTGCCTGCCCTGTGGTGTGTGCGGATGGGGTCTTTCAGCTGCTGGGCCAGAGCCTCTCTGGGGGGCAGGGGTTGCTACTCACAGTCACCACCTGTCCCCGAGCTGTAGGTCCCTTGAAGCCCAGGGAGCAGGACAGTGGCCATTCTGATGACTTGGTCCCCTCCCCTCCCCGCCCAGCATGGCTGCCCCAGCCCCTCAGGTCCCTGCCCTTCTCCTGAACCAGGATCCCTGCTGTGTGGACGCAGAGAGGCCCTGGCCCTCTCTGGGCCTGTTTTCCTGTCTGAACTAGGGGCTGCCTCCGAACGCACGTCTTCTCTCCTTTTTTGCTCATTACCTCTGCTTCAGGGGGGTGAGGGTGGGCTGCAGGGCCCAGGGGGAAGCGGGGGGCCCTGGGGCTCCCAGGGCAGGTGGGCACTGAGTTGGGGCCTCTCCCCACAGTCACTGATTGTCCCTGGGAAGAGCCCCACAAGGAAGAAGTCGGGCCCGTTTGGCTCCCGCCGCAGCAGCGCCATCGGGATCGAGAACATCCAGGAGGTGCAGGAGAAGAGGTGGGTGGCGCAGCAGGACCGCCCTGTCCCCTGAGCTGCTCTGACCCCTGCCCGGTGGCAAACAGGTGCCACAGGAAGTGCCTCCGTGACCTGGGCAGCATACCGGCTCCCTGGAGGCCCGCGCCCTGCAGATCAGGAGGCTGTAGGTCAGAGGGTCAAGGGGCTCACCCAGATCACAGGGCCAGCACAGGGCAGCTGGGATTGAGCCCTGTCTGGGACCAGCACCTGGGTTTTCCACTGCTGCCTAGGTGTGAGAGGGGCCGGCACTGGTCTGGGCAGGCACGGGTGGGTGGGGCCTTGTGCATGCCTGTGGGCTGTGTAGGCCGCAAAACCTTGTTAGCAGCAGAGCTGCCCCAGGACAGCAGAGAATCTGCTGGTATGAACCTGTTTCCACTATCCCGGGGCTGTGTGACCTAGGGCAAGTCACTGTACTTCTCTGAACTTCATGATTCTAATCTGAAAAACTGGGATAAGAAAACAGCCAATAGCAGGGGGCTGCTGTGAGGGTTCCATGCTGTGACTATGAAGCGGGGTTAGGGGAACCAAGAGCATTCCAAGAATGGAGCCAACACTGTCCTCACTGCCACCAACGTTCAGAATGCTATAAAGCCCAGGTTCAGGTGTTGGCACTGCCAGGTTGGAGCTGGCCGGTCCCTTTCCATCTCTCAGGCCCAGTTTCCCTATCTGTCACGGGGACCATTATGCTCCCTCCCATGTCGAGGAGAACTTGGGAGATGTCCTGTTGTGTGGCGCTGCACGGTGCCTTCCCCATCGCTGGCCACGGTGTGCGCGGGATGACGTGGCCCTGGAAGGGGGTGGGTGAAGGCAGGAGGCGCTCTGACCCCCCTCACCGCCTGGGCCTCGTTCTACCCCAATGCCAGGCCTGGCGCTGAACCCCCCCGCTGCCCCCGTGTGCCCCGCAGGGAGAGCCCTCCGGCTGGCCAGAAGACCCCGGACAGCGGGCACGTCTCCCAGGAGCCCAAGTCGGAGAACTCGTCCACCCAGAGCTCCCCGGAGATGCCCACCACCAAGAACAGGTTGGGCTCTGGCCGCCAAGCCGGGGCTTGGGGGTGGCCCTTTCACATCCTGGGCCTTGGGCTGCCCAGGAGCCCGACACTGCCACGAGGCATCAGGGAGGCCTGGGCACCCTCTGACACACCCACTGAGCACCCTGTGGCGCCAGCCCCCACCTYGGCAAGGTGTAACAAGCCGTTCCAGACAGCCCAGTCAGTGGGTGTGGTCTCCATCATGGCTGGGGTCGTAGTGTTCTCTGTGGGTCTCCAGGGGAGACCTCTCCCAGGGGTGGCATCTGAATTGAGAGTGGAGCAAGGAGTCTGCCTGGCTAGGTCTGGCCTGCCTGACGGAGAGAAGAGGGTCTCCAGCGAGGAGCCCAGCAAGTGCAAAGGCCCTGAGGCATGCTGGATACCTGCAAGGAAGGGTAGTATGCAGCTGGAGCCAAGCAAGTGAGGGGCTGTGCTGGGTGACAGGAAMGAGGGCAGAGGGCTAAGCCTGAATGAGAGCTTTGAATCTGATCTGAGAGGAATAGGAGCCTTTAGAAGATTCTCGTGAGAGAGCCCCGTCCAGGGTGCTGTCTGGAGCAGGGGCTGGCGGGACAGGCCCAGGAGCGGGGAGGCCAGAGGGGGCTGCTCTCTCCCTGTGCACAGGCTGAGTCCCTCTGGGCTGGGTTCTGCTGGCTCAAGAGGAGTGGCAGGAGCCAGACCAGGCGAGCCGGCCAGAGGCTATGTCTGGGAGTCAGATTCCCTGGGGTCTGAGCCAAGGAGTGAGACTCCAGGCCGGGGACCCGGGACAACAGGCAGCAAGGGTCGGGGAGTAGGCCGTGGTGCCTGGGCCCAGGTCGCTGTCCCCCAGCCACACGCCCCCCCACGGCCTCTCCTCATCTGGAGATGGGTCTAGCCGAGGGAGCTTGGGTGACCGTGCTGGTCCACGCCTGCCCTGTGAGCATGCTGTGTGTGGCCGTGTGACAGTTAAGCACTACTGCCATCGAACACCAAGTCCAGGCGTGGGGCTGTCCGGGGACACTGGTGAGCCATGAGACTGACGTGGAGCCGGGGGGACCTGGTCAGCTCCATGCACCAGGAAGGACAGTTGGGGGCTGCACTGGGAGGCCCGGGGCCCAGGAGCTCTCTCGGAGGCCACTGAGGCACTTGGCCGGCTCCAGGTGGGGCCTCCCTGTGCCGCAGTGACCAGCCTGCTCCGGTGGGTGTGGCTAACGGGGGCTTYTGTGCCAGGGCGGAGACCGCAGCCCAGAGAGCAGACGCTCTGAAGGACTTCTCCCGCTCCTCGTCCAGCGCCAGCAGCTTCGCCAGCGTGGTGGAGGAGACGGAGGGCGGGGACGGGGAGGACACGGGCCTGGTGAGACGCCGGGGCTGGGTGCTCTGCCGCCATGGGAGGGGACAGGAGGGGGACCCTGGAGATGCTCAGGGCAGAAGCATGAGCACGTGGCCGAGAGGTGATCAGGGGACCTAGCTCAGAGGGCAGGGCTGGCCGCCCAGTGCCGCCCGGGAGCCCCGCCTGCGCGGTTGGTGGCTGGCCTCCTGCCCCTCTCTCACCACCTCACACCTTCCAGGCTGTTCCGCAGCCCCCACACGTGCCGGGCGGGCCACTGCCAGCCGTGCCCTGCCACTTCTCCCTGGAGCCCTCTTCCCKCGAGGCCCTGCTGACTCGGGCCGTCCCCGCCTGGGTGGCCTCCTCCCGGCACCCTGTTCCCTCCCAGGGCCCCATGGCTGGCAGCCCCGGCCTCACAGCCCCTGGGCTGCCCCCCTCTTCTCCAGCCCCCCGTTAGCGGCCCCCTGTGCCTTGCTGGCCCTGCTCCAGGGGCTGCGGGGAGCCAGGCAGTCCGGGGTCCCCTGTGGGGTCCCGTGGGCCTGGCGTGCCTCCTAGACCCCAGGACCGGCTGCTTCCTGCTTCGTGCCGTGGCCTGGTGGAGAAGTCCGTGCGTGGAGAGGGCGGCCCAGGCCTGGCCGGTGGCTCCCCAGGGGCCGACATTGCTGCCCCTGCCCCAGTTCCCTGTCACTCTTGCCCATGGGGCTGACCTTCCTCCCCTTCTCCCCAGGACAGCGTCTCGTCCTCAGGGACACCCCACAAGCGGGACTCGTTCCTCTACAGCACGTGGCTGGAGGACAGCGTCAGTACGACCAGCGGGGGCAGCTCCCCAGGTACCAGGCCGGGCAGCCCCCGGGCAGGACCACTCGTGGGGGTGGGGAACAGAGGGTGGGTGCGTTCCCCTGCCCCAGGTGGTGGGCATGTGACTATCCCGACACGGATTGGAGGCCGGTAGCTTCCTGGATCAGCCTCCGAGGACAGTGGGGGTGGATTAGGGGTGGGGGTCCCTCAGGGAGGGACTTGGCGGTGTGGGGCAGCACCGGTGCCGACCGCCCACCCATGCCCCGTCTCCCTGGTGCCTCCCCGCGGCCAGTGAGGTGGCTCCCTCCTGCCCCCCTCCCCAGGCCCCTCACGGTCACCCCACCCAGACGCCGGCAAGTCGGGGGACCCTGCGTGTCCCGAGATCAAGATCCAGCTGGAAACGTCTGAGCAGCACCTGCCGCAGCTGGTATGAGGCCCACCCTGGGGGACATCCCGCCGGGAGGGGACTAGTTGGGGTGGGGTTCTCAGGGGACCCAGAGGCCAGGAGGGCTTGGGCCCACGAGCCTGGGCCCAGCCAGTGACTCTGCTTCCTGTGTCTCCTGCCCTCGGCTCCGTCTGTGCTGCCACCTCTCTCCATGGCCACCTCGTGTGCAGGGCTGTTAGCCGCCCACCGGGAAGGTGCCGCTCAGCAGGTCAGCAGCTCCCACCTGGAGGGAGGGAAGGCGTCTCTGTGAGAGCCAGCTGTCCCCAGTGGGGACGCGGCCCCGGGCCGGCTCCTCTGCCTCCGTTTCCCTACCTCTGTGGTGGGTTCGTAGGCCCCTGGCCTCCCCTGAAGAGGTGCTGGAGGAACTGGTGGAGCCGGAAGGAGCTGGGCCGGGCTGGGTGGGGTGGGGACCCAGAGCCGGGGCTCCGCATCATGATGCCTCTGCCCCCCTTTTCCCTGCAGATGAGGCCACAGAAGCACAAGGTGAAGACTCTGTGTCAAGCCAGGCAGCTGGGACCTCTGCCCTCAAGGCCACCGGCCCTGGAGCTGCCCGGCCTCCCAGCCCTCCCCTTGGCCCACCCCCTGGGCTGTCTCTGCAGGGCGGAGCCATCCAGACCTGGGCGGGGAAGCTGCTGGCACCATCCTGTCCCCCAGGCTGGAGGTCTGGGCTTGGCCAGGGATTGGTCAGTGAAGCAGGACTGCAGGTCTAGCTAGCCTCCCCCCTGGGTCTCTGTCACCCCTGGGTGCCCCCATGGACTTAGGGGGGCAGGGTGGGAGAGGCAGATTGGGAGAGGTCAGTGCACACAGAGCCTACCAGGTAGGCGGCAAGATGTGTGGAGTGGGCACTGGGCTGGGCGTCCTGGCTCCTGATTGGGGTTTGGCTGTGTGACACTGGGCAAGTCACTCACCTTCTCTGGGCATCTGCTACAACTGGACACGATTATTTCAGAGGTCACTGAAGACTGGTTCCACCACCTGCACCAGAAGGGGGAACGTGTCCCCCAGAACCTCCCATCACACTAATCTGCTTCTTGAGGTCCCTGAGGCCCCAGGTGGGCTAATGGCAGGGAAGTGGCTGTGCCCATTGCCCCTCCTGGAGCCTCAGCCTGGCCACAGATCTGCTGATGCCCTGTCCACTGCCTACAAGTGACAGAAAAGTGACCCCGTGTGGGGGGCACCTGGCTCCTCCGGCCCAGCTTAACCCCTGCTGTCCTGCGCTCCTGGGCACCCAAGGCTGAGGGGTCTCAGCTGGCCTGGAGCTGCGGGCCTGGCCACCCCCCGCCCACTGCTATGGAGGGGTCAGCCAGGCACAGCTGCTGTGAGTCCCTGTCCCCGTGTGTCTGTCCACACTTTTAGGTGCCACGCCAAAGGCCAGCCTCCGGCCACCACCCACTTTGAAAGCCCCAGTGGCTGTGTGTATGTCAGTGACATTGTACAAAATAAATTCTATTTATCGCTATTGTACCTGGAGTTGGGCCTGGCTTTGTGTGACCCCGCCAGGCCAACAGCAAAGCAGGTGTCCAGTGTTTCCGAGGTAGAAGGGGCAGACCTGTCCCCAGCAGAGCTGCTGGGTCCAGGCACCCCTCCAAGGCCAAACCAGAGGGTCTGTGACCACCAGCTTCTTTTTACTTCCATATCATAGAAGCAGCAGGACGAGCTCCCCGCCAGGGCTGGTTATGAGGATTCAGGGGGCTGGTGCCCACAAACGCCAGGCACACAGCAAGGGCTCAGTTAAAGATCGCTCCTTTCCCAGCTCAGGAAATCCTAAGAACTTCCCTGCTGTGGCCACCAGGGGGCACCAAGGGATAGCTAACCCGGCTGGCTGGGCGGGAGGGGGATGAGTGGGTCAGTCCCTGAGGCAGGTGCTCCCAGTGTCCGGCCCTAAAAGGGAGGGGGGGGAAGGAGGCCTGGGAGAGTGGGGATGGGGAGGGAGCTGCCTGTGTGAGCCTGAGGGCAGTGGCACCTGGAATTGGGAATTGGTGATGGAGGGGACAGGGAGATGGGCAGGGATGAGGCCAGAGGCTGCATGGCCTTGAATGCCAGGCCAGGAACCAGGGCTGTATGCCCAGGGCAGCCAGGAGCCCTAGAACTTGGCAGTGGGTGCCGCTGGAGTCTGGGCAGGTCAGAGGAGGGAGGAGAGGGCAAGGGGGCTGTTGGGGACAGGGGTGGCCAGGAGCACAGTGGGCAGGCTGGAAGGTGCTAGGAGGCATGAGGTCTGGACAAAGAGCCTGGTGCAGCTCCAGGGGCTCAGCGTAGGGGTGGGGTGGGCGAGGGTCTCCCCTGGGGTTGGAGGCAAGAGCAGGTTTCAGGGTGGCCTGGGAGGCATTGGCCTGGGGGGGGCATGAGTGGAACCAGGTGAGGTCAGCCGCTGGGCCTCCCTGACAGCTTGGCAGCCCCCTCCCCTGCTCCTATCTCCTCCCCAGGATGAGGGGGCTGAGGGCACCCTGGGGGCTCCCTGGGGAGTGCCACCCTTTCCTGACAGGACCCTACCACGACCCTGGAGCCTCAGACCACCCTGGGGCTGTGACTCACACCCAACCCCAACCCCACCCAGCTGGTTTGGCCCCCGGCTGCTCTGGGCTTGGTGGTCCCCTGGGACCTGCCCCCTCCCAGAGCAGCCTCCGGGCATCTCCTGGAGGCCCCTAGGGCCCTGGGTCCGCAGGGCTCGGCTGCGCCTCCGTCTCCTCCGTCTCCTCCGTCTCCTCATCTGGAGGCAGGGATGCTGAGAGTCCTCCAGTGCTGCCCCCCAGCCCTGGGTGTGAGCGGTTCTGACCTCACCGTATTGCTTCGCTCACGGGGTGGGCAGTGGCCCTCCACGGGGTGATCAGCTACCTTCCAAGTGGTAACTGGGCAGAGCCCAGCCCAGCCTGGCTGTGGGAATGGACAGCCACCAGGTACTTCCCTGAGCCTCGGCGTCCCGGCCTCATTGGGGCGACATCCTTAAGCACCTTTCACTCAGCCGTGCACCCCTCCCTAGGCTGAGATGGAGCAGCTGGGGCCCGTTGTGGCAGAGCAGGTGGGGGGCTTGGCCACCTGCCCAGGCCCCCTCCCTCCCCAGCTGTGCCAGACCCTGTCTGTGGAAAGGGAGGGCCTCTAGGCCAGGGTCCAGTCTAGGTCCCACCTCCAGGGCTCCAAGGTGGGGCTGGGGGAGGCTGAGGACGGTCCTGGCCTCTGGGATCAAAGTGTTTGGCACTGTTTCTCTTGTGCCGGTGCCAGCTCTGCGCCCGCCCTGGGCTCAGAGGTGGGGAGGGCGAGCCAGGACACTGACCCGAGGCTGGAATTAGGGCTTGGGCGGGGGGCACTGGGCTCCAGGAAGTGGAGAAACAACCCTGTGGTGGAAAGTCCTCCAGAGGCGGGGGGGGGTGCTCTCCCAGAGGAGGACAGCGGGGACACCTGCGGGCCTGACCGGCCCCATCTCCGCGGCTCAGCTGGGCCTCCTGTTTCTCCAAGTCTGTTTCTCACCTGCGGCCCAGGTCAAGGCCCTACCTGCTGCACAAACAGGCTGTCAAACTGCTAAGGCTCTTTGCCTGGCACAGAACCCAAGGGTCCCCCCTACCCTGCAGCTAGGGCACCCCTGGACGTCCACGTCCAACCCCAGGGCACTTTGCCAAAGAGATGGCCACAGGCCCAGGCTGGCCTAGTGCCAGGGGACTGGGACCTGGACGTTCTCTACTGTTCAGGCCACAGGGGGTGCTCAGCCAGGGACCCTGGAATGTTGAGGTCCCTCCCTCCTTCCCGTGCCTGCCCTACCCAGGGGACAGCCCAGGACGGAGCCTCCTGAAATAACCAAATCTGGTTAGCAAGGCTAATTTTAAAAGCCACTCTGGCTGCCCCATGGGCCCTTCTGGGAAGCCGTGAATGTCCCTGTGTGTGCCCCTGGGAGGGGCTCGGAATGGGCTCCCCCTTCTGCCTACCCGTGCGGGAGCCCCCAAGCTGTGGGGTTCCAGGGATCCAGGCTCCCTTCTGCCTCAGTCCCCCAGGGTCCGCCTGGTGGCTCTCAGGGCCCTCCCCTGCCTCTGTCTTGGCCTCTCCCCCGTCTGCATTTCCTGGTCTCTGCATCCCTTTACTCAGTGTCTCTGCCCCTCTCAGTCTCTGATGCTTGTGGTGTCTCTGCACCTCCCTCTGGGCCCCGGGAGGCTGGATGCAGCATTCCTGAGGGGCCGTGAGCTGGGCGGTGCAGGCCAGACCAGGTGGGGGTGGTGTCCACGGGGGCGAGGGCTGCAGGTGGGGCCCGTGGGGAGGGCGGCCATCCTGGGGCCGACAGTAGCTATAACCGGGCAGGCAGGGGCCAAGTCCAGGCACGACCTGGGCCATCTGGCCAGGCCAGGTGCCAGCCAGCAGGAGAAATAGCTCCAGAGGTTGGGCTGCCAGGCGCTACACACAAACACAAGGTGCCCAGTTCAATTTGAATGTCAGATAAACAAGGAATCGTTTTTAGTTTTAAGTATACCTCATGCAATATTTGAGACATACTTATAGTAAAAGATGTTTATTTGACATTCAAATTGAACTGGGCGTCCTGTGTTTTATCTGGCACCCCAGTCCAGGGAGGCTCTAGGAGTGAGGGGAGGCTTCTGGGGACAGTGAGTTCTATAGGCCAGTCGGATGGGGGGACACTCCAGGCCCTGGGAAAATCCTAGTCGGAGGGGGGAGGCACAGGTCCTGCCCACAGGGAGCTCAATTTCCTAGGAGTGGGGAGGGTCCTTAGGAACCAGGTGCGGGGTACACGGCACCCAAACACAGTCTCCTTCTCAGCAAAGTCAGAGGCAGCAGAAGGGAGGGTCCATGCACTCTGCTGGGCGCTTGGGTTGGCGCACAGTAGGAGCTTCCTTCGTGTTTCTTGAATAAATAAAAAGCCTCCAGCCCRTCCCGTCCCCTGGGCTTGGGGGGCACCTGGCCAGCATGAGGCTGTAGAAGCCCACTCCCAAGCTCCTGGGGGCCGGGGGGGGCGCACTGCCTCCACCCTCGGGGCTCCCCAAAGGGAGCTGCAGAGAGGAGGAAAAGGACGGGTGGGGAGGTCCCCTCCTCCTCTGTCCTCTCCCCAGTCTYTCCCGGAGTGCTGGCTGGACCACGGTGCAGACGGAGGGGGACCCAGGGCAGGGTGACCTTGGCTTCTGGAGGGGTGGATGCCACTGCGCAGGAGGGACAGGCCAAGGAGGCGCAGCTCAGAGCAGGTGCATTTGGACGAGCCGGGGACTCCAGAGGCCCACAAAGTTGGGGACCAGAGTCTGGCGAGGTGAGATTTGGACCTTTATCCTGTGGTCCACTCACCTCAGGGCTTTCCCCAGGTGGGGTGGCATCCGGGCCTGTGGCCTGTCACATCCCCGGGGGCAGCGTTCTTGGGCTTTTTCATTCATTGTCCTCCTTCACTTGCGCGCGGGGTGGTGGCTCCATTCGCTGAGGTGCATCCCCCACATCCACACCTCCTGCTGAAAGGGTGGCCACTCCCACCGGGAACACCTGTCCCCAGGCCAGCCGGGCCAGTGGCTCCC